CGAGTAACGAGCGACCACCCCTACAAACACAATAAAGAAGAGACCTAACCCTAACTCTACCCCCAAAAAGAACCTGCAACGGTGCGGGCCTCATGTAAAAAGGCCAAAACAAGTCCTAAATGAAAAAAAAAATTTTCATTAAAAAACCACACTCCAAAACAAAAAAGGAGCATATAGATCTAGATCTATAATATCTATATGGCTTACATCTACATTGCTATAGGCTATAGGGTTTGATACAACCACACAATAGAATTGGAATATGAATCCTATATATAGATCTTGTAGAACAAGTGAATAGGAATAGGCCCTGAACTAGAAATCCGCATCCGATTCCGAACAGAGGGACTCAGGTGAGTCTAGATTCTAGATCTAGATCTAGATATCTAGATCTAAATAAATTAATTAATTCACGCACCTGGTGAAATGCTTATTTTTACCAATATTAATATTACAGCACAACCTATGATAGGGTTTGACACAATAGAATTGGAATATGAATCCTCCATTTAAGGTCTATAATGATCTATATAAATCTAGACCTAGATCTAGATTCTATTTGAAGAGAGTCGGACTTGAATGAATCCACACGATCTGAACAATTGAATTAGTCAACAAACGAAATTCAAAATGGCCGCTCGAGCACGAAACTGAAAGTAGATAATTTAAGTTGTCGTCCTTTTTCGTATTCGCATTTCTACTTAGGTTCCGACAATTATGTCGGAAACGCCGACGTCGGCAGTCGGCGGTGCGCGCGTCAGCGGTCCTCACGAAAACGAAAGTGCCGACGAAGCCGACGGGAGAAAAGGGGTCGCTGGCAGTCGGCCAGGCCTCGCACTACGCACATTGACTGATACAGGCGGGCCTAGAGATAGCATCGGCCGGTTCGCAGGTCGGGTCGCGATTGTCGGATTTCAGACGATAGTCGGCAAACATGCAGGTCTAACAATCACCTCACTTCACACAGGCCAAAAAATCATAGATTTTTAGAAGCTCCTTACACACTACGTCCGACGCTGCAAGTAAACGCAAAACCCTAGCCATGTGTAGGTGTACTTTCTGGCAATCGGCATAATAACAATCACAGTAATATATTTCGCCAGGAAGCAACCAGAAGGAAAAAAAGCATGCACGTAAAATAAGATAAGATAATACTTCATCATCGCAGAGGGGAATTTTTCTTGGCTGTACAGGACCGTAACAACACATGCAAGTATACAGAAAAATTAAATTATGTACACACTCAAAGCACATGCCATCCTCCTCCCTCCCCCCAATAGTCCATGCAGCAAAACACTTACCCGTTTTCTCTTAGGCTCAGGGTCATCCACTTCCATGGTGTCTATCCCGGAGTCCACATCACGCTGAGACTGGCTACTGTGAACGGGTCAGTTAGTTTTAGTAGAGGTTTTACGGCGCTCGCAACTGCATAAGGTCGTATGAGCGCCAAGGGGTGGATGTCAACAGAAAAGTCCTTACAGGGAATCAGACTTATTCTGCTCACCTCTCTAGCTTCAACAGCACAAAGTCTGCTTCGACTATCAAGGCACCCCGGAAATAGCAGGTCACAAAAGTGTGACAAACATACAAAAAAAGTAGAGGAAAAATGACAATAGTAGAGATTAGGAAAGAAAAAGCAGCAGTTTCCTGTTGTAGATCAGGCACAGTTACGAGAGTGATATAGATGAATCAGCCCATTTACAATTCTACTGTGCATGAACGACAAATGTCCCCCCTTTGGGAATGGCCTAAAGACACATCAGTCAGTGGCACCGCCCCGGGGGGTGTGACGGGTCAGAAGGAGCAAAATACATGTAAAATATACTTTATAAGATAAAGTTTACTGACCACTGTTCCATGTTCACTAAAGGTAAATAGCACAGCATTGGCCAAATTTCTCTTATTGAAACATAAATGAGGAACAATAGAGGAAAAAAAAAATTCCATCGAGAGGGCTACAGTCTTCATATCATATTTCAGTCAGAGAAAGACAATGGCAATATACTCTAACTATGTACCTGGTCTTCTTAGAAATTATTCAAAAGGCTTCTTTTTTTTAAAATCTGATTTAAATATGACAGGGCTTAAATTAAGTATAAAGGAGGGCAGTCAATAATTGCCTCAGTGGGGCCCCAAAATCAGAGGGCACCGAGGCAATTTGCTAGGGCACCAAGGCAAAAATTATAGGTGATCATTTTGTTTATTAAAGTAGGTAGTACTGGATCGTGTATCACAACGTTTATATAAATAACAATACAATTTATTCTTGCTCTCTACAACAGTACAGAGTTATTGGAAAATTTGTAAAATCATGAATGAAAACTAAGTAAATCACAGTAAAATCACTTCATAACAAAAGCACTAAAAATCAGTTTTAAGTCTATGTCAAATTATGATCATGATTGCCTCTGACCTAAATGTCTTTATGACTAGCTCTTATTGATTGGATTAATATGAATAATGAATATGACTGGTGACAATAGGGTACGATAGAAAACAGTAAATCATAATATGGCCAATTAGGTAAGACATTAATCATTAATGAGATTCAAACAGAGTGGTTCACAGGCAGTGTAGTGATAAAATAAAAACAATTAATCATGGTAAATGTAAACAAATTTTGAACTTGTATGAAAAAGAAAAAATGAGGAGTGAAAAAAACAAACTTATGAACTTGTATGGAAAAATAGAATGAATAACTAAAAACTGCTGTCTAGCAGTTAAACAGTATGAGGTTACGACAATGATAAGTGAAAACAAGTTTTGAAAATACATTGTTATATAAAGTATGTTATATATAAAAAAAGACCTTAACAATCAGAATGTCATGTTACAACTTATGACTAGATCAGAATATTGAAAATATGTAGGCACACACAATATAGAAAAAGACTGGCTTACTGTTTGTCCCCTCTGGGAAAAAAACAAGTGATTTTAAAAAGTATCACCAGAGAAGATGATTTCAGAGAATAGTGCTGTTTTATCAGGACGACTATTTGTGAGACACATCTCTAGCGACTTGGCAATGCAGGTTACTGGATTAAATGCTTTGATCTCAGGACAATTGGGACATATAAGCATAATCTTTTCAAGCATATCTCTGGAAAACGAATGCCTCCAGTCACCAAGGATATGCTTCATCAAAGAAAACTGCCTTTCTACCTCGGATGTCGATGATGGGGAGAAAAAAAGATTATATGAGCCAAATGAGACAGATTGGGACCTTCCCTTGCTTTTTTCAGGATTAAATTTGTCTTGTTCTCATTCAGAGGTATGGAACCCTGACTTTCAGAGAGAAACATGAGCCACCCTTTTTTTATTTTCTGTGTTGAGTATCCTTGGTGTTGAAGAACACTCTCATAATGAGCTATCAAGTCATCCATCAGTCTCACCATATTCTTTCAGCTCATCTATTTTGTCAGTTCCAGGCACACTTGTCGAGTCAAATATCCTTACACTCTTCAAAACTTTATCTTCTGATGCGCCTGAAAATCTTTCTTCCAAGCACAGAACCAGCTTATCCAACACATATTTCACGGTTTGTTTGTAATCATCACACTTGCACTTTCTCTCACATCTGCAGTCTTCTTTTTCATCCAGTGCTTTTTTTAGACACTGCTGAGGTTTTATAATCATTGATGTGAGTGTGTTTGCACTAGCTGTGACAAAATGGACACAATGGTCAAGCTGAGCACTGTGTGACAGAAGTTTTGTTGAGATTTCAGACAACTTTGACAGAATCTCTTCATACCCCCCCCCCCCCCCCCCCTCTCTCTCTCTCTCTCATGAGTGTATCTTAAAAATAAAAAATCAATAATATCTCCCATTCCCGAGTCTCACACTTTGCGGCGTTCAGACTTTGAATGAACTTTGGCGACCCCAACAACCGCCGTGCTCACTAGGTGCCGTATCTTGTGACTAAGTTGTGATGCGTACGCGCAATTTCACCGACCGGTCACGGTGGCAAACTCAACAAGACGCTTGTTAAACTTTCTTTTCTCTTTTTTTGTCACAAGTGACAGCACAGGACAATTATTGATTTATTTTCAAGGCGTTACATTTTTAAAAACAACACAAAAAAAACAAGGGCACAGCAAACATTGCTGCGGTTGACCCTTTGATTTTAAGGGCATTACGGCAAATTGCAAAGACACCAATGCAAATTGCTGCCGTGCTGCGGAGTATTTCAAGCCCCGATATGATGCACATTGACACAAAGTAAGCCCACAGTACTATTTGTACTATTCATAGCTGCTGCATGCGCTGCAAATATATCTATCCTAAGTAAGAGAGGGTGTATACCTTTTTTCTTGTGACTCTGCGGACGTGTCTTGTGAGCTGTCAACTTCCATGCTACCTAAAACAGATAAAATACAAAAAGAAATAAAAGAGAAACAAGAAATAGAAATAATGCAATACAAATCTTAGCTATCCTCAGACAGACATTCTCCTTAGAGCAACAATGACACGTAAGTAACAAGATGATTGTGACCACTCCCAGATAACCTATTCAAATATCTTAAAACGCTAATCAGTATTTACACTTACTTATGGAATATTAAACTAATGATGGGAGTCCACCACAGAACATAACGATACAAACTGAGCTGTAAGGATACTCCCCGTTACGGAGAAAAACACACACAGAGGGGTAAAATGAAGAAAAGAACGACGCAAGACGTACATGCGCCTGGTGGCGATGACGCTGTTTTGGGTAAAGGAGGTTGGGACAGGGACTTGCTGGCGGGTGGGTCCCCAGCCATGCTTGAGACTGCGGGGACATTTTGGGAGGACGGGGTGGAGGTAGGTGTGTTGTTGCCACTTGAGCTGTTGGCGCCTTCGAGACGTTCAAGGCGTCGCCGCCGCATCTGAAAATATACACATGAGATTTTTTTTTTACTCAGTGTTTTCGGCACTTGCAACACAATAAGGTTATATAAGTGCCGAAGATTAGAGGTGTTACAAGAAAGTAACAAACACAAAAAAGGAGGAGAGATAAGGACAATAGACGTTTGATAGGAAAGAAGATCTAAGCAAACCACACCAGAGCGCCCGCCAACCACCCACACACATGGTATGACAGATACATAAAATAAAAGAGCACATAAATACAACTAAAATTATAATCATTCTAAACATTGGTTGCATGATATTAAAATGTCACAACCCCATTTTCATCTAAACTATCTGTGGGAATGAGGCAGTTTCACTGCTATTCCTATTCTAGATCTGTAAGAAAGTTATAATCAACTGGGGAAAAAAGGGTGTCGAAGTCTCTTCTCACCTCTGAATTTCAGCTCAATTTAATCTTGACTTTAAGTATGTTTCTCTATGGCCTCTTTTTCTTTTTGCTTTGGACTAGGAACAGTGTACCCTTTGCCACTTTTCTTTCCGTTATTAAGCTGGTGGCAAATTTTAACTTTCACTCACGAATGATACAAATGTAACCTACTGCTGAAACTTTCCGAAATCACAAAAGATTTCCCCTACCGGGTCTGTATAATTCGTGACTTTGTTCCCGGTTACCGGGTCTGTATACACTTCGAAGAAGAAAACAGGTCCCATCAACTGACAATAGTTAATACATCAACAAACAAAGCAAAGATGCAACAGAAAATTTCTTGGCCACCTCTATTCTCATCATGGGTGAGAATAGTGCAGGCGAGTCTTTTGGCTATTCTCACCCGGTGCGCGTTCACCGTTATAGCCTAGATTTAGGCCAACAAATTTTGCGTTCACCCTAAACCACAGAATTCTACACTGTGATAACAGAAAAATTGTAGAATTCTGTGCCGTGAACAAAGGTTCCATTACAACTGTAGCCTACTAAAAGCGTACAATTTTGTCTGTGGGCAGTGGAGAGAGAGAGAGAGAGAGAGGAGTAGCGCGAGAGTTTACGGTCAAAACAAAATGGCGACCAGCGTAGTTCGGCTCGATTCGAAAAGTTAAATAGCCGTAGCATATTTGTAGACAACCAAATTAATTTACTTTTGTGTTTTAACATCATTTTTAAACTTTGTTTTGGTCAATTTGATCGTCCACACCGATAGACAGTATTCAGAAAGAGACAGAGAGAGAGAGAGAGAGAGGGGAGGAGTAGATCTTGCGAGAACTTCCGGGCAAAACAAAATGGCGACCTGCGTAGTTCGGCTCGATTCGAACAGTGAAATAGCCATCATAGGCATCTTTGAAGACGATCAAATTAGCTTACTTTTGTGCTATAATAACGTAACTTTTTCTTGGCTTTTATCAATTTGATCATCCACACCGATAGACAGTACTCCAAAATGAGGAAAAGCAGGTCTTGTTTCGTACCAGGTGAGAATAGCCTACGGTGGCAAGTCTCACCCGGGGTGAGAGGTAGATCGTTTTTCTATTCTCACCCCGGATGAGAATAGCCACTTCCAAATTTCTTTGTCCCAGCAGTAACACTTTCTCTAGATCTTGATTTAGATTCCTGACGAGTTATTCAACCACAGGTTTTTTTTTCTAGCTTTGAATTCTGCAACGTCAACTTCAGACCTTATTGTGCTTACATTCAGTAGATTCGGAAATCGATGGACACTTTTCGGGAAAAGGCAAAACAGTCAGTCAACAGTCAAAACAAAGATGAAACCGAAGCTTTTCTACTGGATGATTTATGTCCTGAATCGAATTCTATCGAGATACTTTCTACCCCTGTCTTTTTTCTAGTTATATTGTTTACCAAAATACCTACCTCATCGGCTGTTAATTCATTCATATTTGAAGAAGAAAGTCGCTCTACAAATTTTAACGTGTATGACGCAGCTGAAAACTAATCATTTGTGTTTGTTGTCCAGCGGGGCCTTCTGCAGCTGACAACTTCAATTCAGCATACACAAAGTTACTGCGCCGCTGCTGGCACATCTTGCTTTTCAATATTAAAAAAAACAAACTAGGTAGACCTACTGCGAAACAAAACAAACTTGATATAACATTGAAGAGAGAGGGAGGAAATAGGAAATAAGAGAGGAAAGTCAATAATGCTTATGAATATGATCTTTTTTCGGATTATTGTCACTTAAAAAATATATTTGGTTCAATTTCTGGTTCAATTTCGCATTTCGTTTTTGTGAAGTAGTTGAATTTGTTTCGTTTCTTTAACTTCCATAACGTTCAGAATAATATGCCTCTGAATTCGCATCAGATTCGTAACAAAAGAAAGGGCTCAAAATAGTAACTGTAAGAAAATTATTAATGCGTACGAAAAGATCCAAAATCAAGAGGAAAGCTCGAATTGAATTGACAGTCTCAACATTTAATTTGCGATAAAAATCATGCCTTGCCAAGGGGAAACAACCAAAGAAAATAATTGTTAAAATAAAACAGGACGAACACAGAAAACTGGAATCACGCATACGTCAAATTGTACCTGCGGGACGGGGTTTTTTCTCTTTTTTTTTGGGGGGGGGTGTTTCTTTATCTTTTTAAGATACAGATCTGCTTCGTCGAACTTCAGATCCTTCGAAGTACCGAGGCCGGTCCTGACGAATTCGAACTATCCGTGTTAGCCTCTCAACTATACTGTATGGCTGGCTTAGTTCCCCTGAGACTACTGAGAGTTCATGTGCACAGAGTGGTGATCGAATTTCTTTTTTAAAAGCTAATGTGGACACTGGGTACTCCTTCTCGCAGATGAAACTTGACCTGCCGTGTAAACTTCATTTTAACTTTTAAATTGATTCACAGTCTCTTGAACTCTTGTCCATACCTTTCTTCCCAATGACCAACCACTGGTCCACATATCCAGGCAGGTGGAAACGACGAAGTAGTAATATAATAAAAGGTCGTCCGTCAATGTGCGACGATGACCAATACATTCACATGGAGAATATTTCTCCAGCGAAATAGACGAATTAAAGGTTAAGATGACTTGTGGGTTCTGCTATCGCCGATGAGACTAATTCTGGCAGAGAAAAGTTTGCCACTCTATGAATATTTAAAAGCACCACTTACAAAATTGGATGTGCGCAGCTTGCGGCCATCTCTCTTGGTTTCAACTTTTCTTATTCATGAAGCCTCTTAATATTAGGCTATGGTTTGCTGTGCTGTGACTGCTGCTCTCTGGGTGAGTCTCAGGAGCACAGAGTTCTATACTTGTATTCTGTGATCAGGAGCAAGGCTCTCCCGTGTTGAAGTATAGGCCTAATTATTTTATGTTGAAGTCCTTCAGAGACATTTCCAGTGTGTCTTTGTACATTGTATTACACTTCATCATCAGTCATCATCAATGCCTTTCACCCCTGGCAGGGTATAGGCCACATACAAGCTCCTTCCATTTATCTCTGCCCTGAGCCATCCTTCCAAGCTCATTCCAAGTGAGCTTCATGATCTGTCTCATGTCCCTTTCCACACATCTCCTCCATGTTTCCCGTGGCCTACCCCTGCTTCGTGCTCCTTGTGGGTTCCACTGCAGTGACTGTCTTGTGATATTTCCGCTGGGCTTTCTTAAGGTGTGTCCCATTCATCGCCACTTTCTTAGTCCTATTTCTACATATCTTTTTGTCTTGTCCTTTCCCACAGCTCTTCATTTTTTATTCTATCCTGCTGCTTAATTCTTAGAATACTCCTCATACATCTGTTGATGAAAGTCTGGACTTTATTCAGTACTGTCTTTGTTGCCTTCCAAGTTTTGCAGCCGTAGAGGAGCACAGACTTGACATTGGAGTTAAAGAGTCGAATCTTGGTGCGCAGTGAGATGTTGCTAGCTTTCCAGACTTTTGATAATTAATTGAATGCTGACCTTGCCTTGGCGGTTCTTGCTTTAACATCTGCCTCGGTTCCACCTTTACCATCGATGACACTTCCAAGGTAGGTAAAGGAGTCCACTTCTTCCAGGGGAGTGTCTTCCACTGTCACAGCAGGGCTTGAAACTTTTCCTAGCTTCACTACTTTTGACTTGCCTGGATGTTTACGTAGGCCAACACGTCTTGATAGGCTGTTGAGTTCCTTGGTCTTTTCTTGCATCTGAGCATGTGTGTGAGAGAGCAGTGCAAAATCATCGGCGAAATCCAAGTCGTCCAGCTTCTGCCAAGTGATCCACTGTATTCCATTACGCTTGCCTCTGGTGGCTTCTTTCATGACCCAGTCAATTGCTTGTATGAAGAGAAAAGGTGAGAGCTAGCATCTTTGTCACACTCTGTCTGTACCTGGAATGGTTCTGAGAGTTGTCCTTCGTGGAAGACTTCGCAGTTTGTTCCATCATCATAGGTGGCCTTCACAAGCTTGATGATTTTGTCAGGTATTCCAAAATGCCCAGGCTGGTTCAAAGTAAGATCTGGAGTACGACAGGGATGCGTTCTATCTCCCCTCCTGTTTATAATATATGGACTCAATAACGCAAGAAGCAAACCAAAGCCCAGAAAGCCTAAACGAGTTTCTGTTCGCAGACGACCAATGTCTTATTCATCATGACCAACAAAGCCTCCAATATCACACTACCGAACTCAACAACACCTGAGAGAAATTCAACATGAAAATAAGCACATCGAAAACAGAAGTTATGAAAGTGAGCCGAAACCATAGTCCCCTGAACATCCATGTCAATAGTAAACAACTGAAACAGGTTAAGGAGTTTAAATATCTTGGCAGCACTTTTTCTGAAAACGGGTCCATAGACAGAGAAATAGAAAATGCGAACTCAAAAAGCCAACGCTATCACCTACCCAGCTCGCACCCCTCCTATCTCATCCAAACATCTCCATGGACACAAAGAGACAGTTTATCACCTCAATATTCATACCAACATTATGTTATCAGTGCCAGACCTGAAACTTAAGCAACACCCATGAAAGCAAAATCACCGCATGCGAAATGAAATGTCTCTGTAAAAACCCTTAACATCACAAGACGAGACAGGCGGAGAAATGAAGAAGTAAGAGCAGCTATCGGCATTGAGTCCTGCCTGCGTTACATAGAAAGACAGAGGATAAAATGGTTTTGCAATCTGTTACGTATGTCACCCGACCAGCCAGCCTCGAGAGCCTACAACACCAAGCACTCAGGCTATAAAGGAAGAGAAAGGCCATGCAAAAGGTGGATCGAGGGTGTCAAGGAAACCCTAAGAAAACATCACATCACAACTGAAAGACCTGCGGAGCTGGCCTGCCATAGAAAACTGCGTCTCCCCTCGACACTTAACGGAAACAGAGGATGAAAAAGAAACAAAAAAGAAGAATTCCAAAATGCCGCTTGAGTTTCCACAGAGTTTCCCTGTCCGCGCTGTCAAACGCCTTTTCATAATGTATAACTCTTAGTGCGCCAATTTACCGTACGCTTCCCTAAGGACGATTCTGAACAGAATACTGCCTTTAAGATTCTGAAATCAGGCACTTACAACATAGCCAGCCCAGCGAAGTTGAATCCTTTTGAGCTTAGAAAACAGACTTTCGGTATTTGTCTTTTGGTATCTAATTAATTTTGGGGGAAGAAGGGGGGGGGGGGGAGGGAGACGACGTAGCGGGTGGTAGAGGGTTGCTTGGTAAAGATCAATCAAGGACCGACCTCCTTTGTAAAGATGAAGTACAGTACAGTGGCTTTCACTTCTACGTCTTGTCACTGGGGCGATACAGTAACCGTGAAAGAGTACCATGACACGTTGCTGGCTAATACAGGGCATGGAACCAAAACTGGGGCGATACAGTAACCGTGAAAGAGTACCATAACACGTTGCTGGCTAATACAGGGCATGGAACCAAAACTGGGGCGATACAGTAACCGTGAAAGAGTACCATAACACGTTGCTGGCTAATACAGGGCATGGAACCAAAACTGGGGCGATACAGTAACCGTGAAAGAGTACCATGACACGTTGCTGGCTAATACAGGGCATGGAACCAAAACTGGGGCGATACAGTAACCGTGAAAGAGTACCATGACACGTTGCTGGCTAATACAGGGCATGGAACCAAAACCAGGTGCTCGTCATAAAATAAAATAAAAATTCATATATCAAACAAATGGCGGATTTTGCCATGCCAAAGAAAACATACAAGAAATCAAGCAAGCATGCAAGAGGAAGACCCAGGAAAAGATGGCCTGATGAAGGAGGAATAGAACCTCACAAGTTCACAATTACCAGCTCTAAGGGGCTTTCCAGATAGCTCATGCATGATTTCTCTACTGGAAAGATAGAGGGGGGTGGGGGGGGGGGGAGAACAAGAAAGAGACAGACAGACCGACAGACAGACAGATAGATATAGACAGAGAAGGGGGGGGGGTAAGAGGCATCCAATGATAAGCTACAAGCGGCAGAAATTATACTAAACGTAGCCTACGCGTTAACTTCACTCCCTCATTCCATCTTCCATAGATCTAATTATCTATGGGGCTGCACGATAGTTACGGTACTATATGTTGTGTATCCATTCATTTCTTCATCAACTCTTCTAGGCCTTCAATCAATAAAATTATCTAAAATCTGAAATCCATGATCACCTCTTGTCGTTGTTTCACCCGTGAGGAGAACCTATATTATATAATGTATATGATTATATTAAACTGTATATAGATCTATATATATATTTATACTTACACGTGTGTGTGTGTGTGTACGTGTGTGTGTGTGTGTGTGTGTGTGAGAGAGAGAGAGAGAGAGAGCGAGAGAGAGAGAGAGAGAGAGAGAGAGAGAGAGAGAGAGAGAGAGAGAGAGAGAGTGAGTGTGTGTGTGTGTGTGTGTGTGTGTTGCCTGTCTGATGCGCGCGTAACATGGTATAGTAGGCTAAGTAGGACATATTTGCGTCTTAGGAATAAAAGAAGGAGGGTGGAGGAGGGAAGGAGGAGGGAAGGAGGGGGGAACAAGAGAGAGAGAGAGAGAGAGAGAGAGAGAGAGAGAGAGAGAGAGAGAGAGAG